TCCTGCTGATGGTAAGGAGGAGGTACTTGCTTTGCCCCCATTGGAGAGCTGGTGAGCTGAGGCTGCCCATTAGTGAACACAGCCTAGTGGTGTAGGACAACACTTATGGCAAGATCAAAGTGCTTTAGCGTGTTCAGAAATGGATGGCAAAGATTGATGGAATAGGGAGAGGATAGCTTTTCATATCATGATTAACTACAAATTAAAGACTCTAATTTAGACAAATGCAATGAAATGCGACAGCTAGTTGAGGAATCATGCTCCAATTGCAAAAGCAAATACTGCATGGATTTTATGAATCCATTTAATTTAAGTAAGTTTAATCTTAATCCTCTTTAGAATATACTTATGTTGTGGTCACATAGTGCTTTAAAAAATCTGACACTACTAAAACCCTCTTAAAAGAAAACCTTTAGATTATTTTCTCTGTATACATGACCTGTTTTATCCAAGTTTCAGCACGCTTGCATACTTTTGCAAAAGGCTGAGAGGAATGGACAAAAACAATAATGTTGGATAAATAAAAAGAGGCCCTTGTAAATTACAAAGCTTATAAAATGTTAACTAAGAATCACAAGTGATTAGAATTTTATATATACAGTCCATCCAGTAAATTGTTGTTTAGAGTCACTGATTAGTTTTGTGACTTGTCTTTTTCACCAGAAATTTATAGTCTAATGACTTCTTTTCTTTTCTTGAATAAAGATCACTTGAATAAGTCATTGCACAACTAGTTAAAGAGTGCTATCTTAAAATTGCATTTTTGTCAAAATTCTTTCACCTCTGATCAAAACCTTAGTGCTTTGAGTTTTCTTTCTTTAAATTCAATCACAAAGCAACTTTTAAAATGCCAACAACATCAAAAATTGTTGCACCAAAAATACCACTACCCTGAATATCTCTCACTGAACCTCTTACTAAAAAATACGTCATTATTCATGTCTTCCAGTGCTTAAGGCAACATGCAAACAGCTGTACTCTAGGTTTATTGTCCATGTACATCTTTGTCAGAAGTTTAAAAAGTTAAGTGAGACAGTATGCTGTATCAAAATGTGAAATGACAAAAAAGTTCATTTCACACTGAAAATGTCTCTGTGTCCTTTAAGGAATACATCTAGAGTAGCTCAGGTGCATCCCTCCTGGATTCATGTGATCAAATCTGCCCTTCCTGAGAGGCACCAGCACAGGTTTTACAAAACTCAGTTCCAAATACAAGTAATTTCACAAAGGCATATTCTACTTTCTTCTCTAGCAATATCAAGATTTTGGGAAACAGAAATTAAGTAGTTCAAAGGACCAAAAGGTAAAAGTCAAGACACCTCTTGCTCTCTAACTCCAGACAATACTGTTAGCAGATGACAATGGCTCAATACAAGCAAGACCATTTAGAAATCCCTGATGATCATGATTTGGATTGATAATTAAGATCAACAGGATATCAGCTACTGAGGAGTTAATTTTGCTCTTTTGTATTCTGAGCCAAAATGATCTGCTTTGGGATGGAGTCTCAAATGTTCTGAAGCACAAACAATGTGAAAAAGGCGAACAACCAGGAGTCAGGAGATATTTCTGGGTCCAGCTGCTACCAAGTAGTCAGGCAGCCCTGGGTGAATCACATGCCCTGGCTGTGAAAAGGTGTTGCCAGTTCCACTGTTCTGTGATTCAAACACTACTAGCCGGCTTAAGGTATCCTAAATCAGATTTTCCCTTTGCTTGTCATTTTCATGAAGGAGAAAAATAAACTTGGTATAAACATCAAATTTGATGATTTTATACTTTCCAGTGAGAGAACACATATTTAGTAGAAAATATTAAATCTATCTAAATCAATGCAAACTATCATATGGTTCTACCACTGATTAATAATAGTAACTTTAATTACTGAGTAGGGTGGGAGAAATATGTGACATACCATGGGAATTAATTACTATTTTACTTGGTTATACAATTATTTCAAAAGTATTAGTAATGTGAATTCAGGTCAGCTCTGTGGAGTGTAGCCACTCTGTCTCATCCAAAGGGTGTTACAAACCTCTCTATTCATCTCTATTATGATTTTCAAAGCATATAAAAACAAAGAAATCTAAACAAACAAAAAAAGAGGCTTGGTTATGATATGAGAGATTCTGCTGTTAATTAAGTTTGGGAAGGGCAACACTTAACATATTATATCACAGGCACTTGCTCCTTCACTGAAATGTTTAACAAAACTGGAAACTCAGCTGAGCTGAGGCTAAAGACAACTGTGGACATCCTTCTTAGAACTTTTAAATAAATCGAAGAGTAATTTCAAACGGCTCCCTACCTCCCTCCCCAGTCCCGCCATTTCTCCAAATCTATACTCAGACTCCAGCTGTGATGAACAGAAGAGACTGTCCATTTGGGGAGGAAAGGCCTCACTTGGAACCAATTCTCCTTCACCCTGACTGACTTTTCCACACTGCATCTTACTTATTATTCAAAGAGTAGTCTGAAGAGCATGAGCCATTTGCATTCATAAAGTGGCACTTGTATCAAAGGTTACATTGCAATGTTTTTTACACACTTTCCTCCAATATGTAAAAACTAGCTCCAAGCCCCCCTCTCTCTGCTTAATTTATAACCTGTCATTAGAATACCTTTAAGCTTCCAAGAACCAATTTTTCAGCTGAAAATGACAAATGGCTCAGTTTTAGACACTCAACCTAGAAGACAGGATCCTTGAGCCACAAAAAATGTAATGGGCACTTTACATAATTTTTAGTATATATGCTGAGAAATTCACTTAAAGGTAAATTCTAGTTTTTCAATCTACTTAAGGAGTGAAATTCGGGTTAATGTTTTAAGAAGTTCCCTGTTATTTTCAGGTAATTATTTCTCTCTCACAAAAAAATCTAGTAATGTGATTGTACTATGCAAGGTCAGATCTACAGGTACAAATTATACACATGCATGTTTATGAACAGGTTTTGGACACACTCAAAAGTGAGGCCTTTTAAATGTCTGCCTCACGAAACCTACAGAAATATTCTAGAGAGAGAGAGAGAGCATATCAACATTAACCTGCCATGTTTTTCAAGCACATGTGTTTCTGTTTCCCATTAATAGCATTTTAGTTAAAATCAAACACCACACATTACAGCAAAACACTATAGTATGTAAAAACCTAACACAACACACCACAATACGATACAATGCAATACAGTAATGGGGAAAATGGTATTGGATATATTTGTTACATTCTGAATCAAACCAACAGACGACTACTGTGTAAACAAAACGGTAAGGTAACACTTCAAAACAGACCGAACATTTATCCACCAAGAATGCACAATAAGCCAGCAGTCCACTGTAGAGATTCACTCAGCATAATGGTTATTGGAAAATCACAAAGAATAGTGTGATAAATTACAAAATGTTATGGTGTTCTACCTAATAATTCAAATAAGATAGATAGATGGTAGTTGTTAGTTTTCTGTTGGTGTTTTAACATCTCCATTGATTGTTTGATGCTTTGTTTTTTATTCGAATTTGTTGGCTGGTATGTTTGTTTTGTTTAATATATTGACTGCACCATGCTTATTGTTGTGTTGGTAGAAGAGGACATACGTGAATATATATAGAAAGGCCATATGGAGGTTCTCACGGAGAGATTCTGATACTCCATAACTCTGTTGTTCAGAATTTCAACTGAAATGGAAGAAAAAAAAGAGTGAGAAATATTGGAGGGTTATTGAAGTAGGGGTCAGGATACTTGGTTCTTGTTCCAGTTCTGTGTGTGAACCATATGCCAAGATATTCCCCACTCTGAATCTACGAAAATCGAGCTGTTGGAAATGCTCACTAAGGAGTCACGTAGCATGACGGTCTGATAGTCTATGGTTCTCACTGAGTGACAGTGTGGACAGTTGCCCTAAGTTAACAGAGATACAGTCCGTTGTTTAAGGCACTGTCTACACCATGAACATCCACCCATCCATCCACTTCCTCCAACAAGCATATATTGACAAAACATACTAGATTCCATTTTGAAATATGCAAATATTAAACAAACTTTAAACTTTTTATCTGTATGTTTTGGAGCCGTGCAGGAATAGCCTAAGTGTGAATTCTGGGTATACAGTATTTTACAAAATTACATTTTTGCACTCTGGAGAAATTTTCAACATCTGTTACATACTGCAATGATTATGATGTGCCAGATACCTCTAAATTTTCTAATGGAATCAAGTAAAAAAGAATCACTATTCCCAAACATGTTCTGTTGGAAAGTTAACTATATTTGACCACTTTTGTTTACCTTGATGTGAAGCAGCCCATGAGAATCAGGCAAGTGTTTACAAGCCTACTAGTCTCATGTTCGGTGCTATTCCCAACTTGCCACTATCCCAAATGATACCCCTGAAAACTACTACAGTATACAGGTACTTCAGTTATTCCGTGTGCTCAAAGATGTCTTTTTTTAAACGCTCCTTATGATTGCAGGGACCTGTTATCTAATGTACAGTTATCTATATGCTCTGTCCAGAACAGTTAGTCTTCTGGGCCTGTGTGTCCTCAGCAGGCAAGAAATGCTAGCCAGGTGCTGGTGAACAGGAAAGAAATGCTAGCCAGGTTCTGGGGAACTAGTCCATCAAGAGAACAGAATTGTTGCCTTCTTCAACCAAGTGAAACACTCCAGGTGTGAGAACTTCAAGCTTTCAGTGACTAATGGATGCAACTCAGAATCAGTGTATTTGTATAATAACTCCCTATAATTATTAATTAAGATGCCTCAGAGTCTTGAGTGACTTTAAAAGTCACATGTTCCAAGTGAACAGTTGCTCAAATTAAGTGTGTTGCCATTACAGGCTCTGGACCAGGCAAAGGAAATCAAAAGTGAAGGGGGCAGAATCCGAAAACAACAACAAAAATTACCAAAAAAAAAAGGTGCCATGATGTGAATGAAAATCATGATTAAATTCCTAAATTATGTCACTCAAAATTGAAAACAGCTGGAGCAATTCTGCTAGACTTACATGGGAAGCAACACAAAGTGGCAGAATGTGAAAGCGCTATTTTCCATAATGTCTTTAGAAAAAGCATATACTGCCGACTGTCTTTAAGATATAACCATCTTAATCAAATTGTGACAAAATTACTTTGCTTTATTTCAATTAAAATAAAACAAAGCTAGAAAAATGTTAAAAGATTAAAATTCAAAATCGACCTGTGCCTTTGGCTAACCAATCATACCCCTTTAATAATGGGAAAACATTTGGGAATTTGTAAGCTCTTTGGGAAAATACAATACCAGCTGTCATTTTCATATTAAAAAATCGCATATTTGCTTGTCCATATTTCATTGTGGAAAATTTAGAATGCTTAAATCAAGCTCTAAGTTATAAGCAATGCCTATTAATGAAAATATTTACCGAAGTCTTTAGCAAATGCAACTGTGTAGATAAAAGATATTACCTACAAATATTATATTAATACTTAAAGAGACTTACTGTTCTACTGGTAACTTCTACATCTGTGAAACAAACATGCTGCTATTCAGTTCATCTATTGATAATGGGGTTATCTATAGTAGTAAAAAAGATTTTAGATTAAAATAGTTTCTTGAGAGAATTCCATTTATTTTGTTCACTGCTTGGACATGGTAATCAATAACCGTAACCAATTTCACAGAAAAATTTAGACATACTAACCATATCCAATAATAGTTAACTTTGCAAAAAGCACAGGTTAGAATGTGGTTTGTTTCCCCAATGGATTAATGCTCTGTGTCCTAAATGTTTATCATACTTGTAATTGAAACAGCAGTGGAACTTGCAGTCTTTAAGCGTGGTTACCACTTTAACAAGGCAAAATGGCCATAATATTACACAATAATTATTGTAAGTATCTCCTTATAATTTCAAGACTCACCCCAAATTCATAATTTGCCTTGTGACTCTGCCTGTAAAAACCTCAAGCAAATGAACATTGAAACAACACAAGCATATCTCATGTCGGTATGAGAAGGAATTTCGGATGTAATCACTGGGTAATGATAAGCATATCTGTGCCTTGGAAAGAAATGTGTTATCTTTCTTTCCAGTAGATCTAAAGGTAAAGGTGATGATAGTACTAAGTGAAAGTTCAAATGCAATAACCAAAAATGGGAGTCCACTAAAATAAATTCTCCTCTCAACCAATGAAAAAACATTTAAAAAATATTTAGTATATACCTTTGAGGATTGGTGTGGTAGCAACAACTATATATATAAGATGTCAAGAGTGACATCTGTAACCAATTAAAAAAGAACACTCTGCTGACTCATCTCAGGATGAGCAGCAAAGCAGGAACATCCCTCTAGAGGAACATCCCTCTAGAACAGAAAGAGAAATTCTAAATGTAACACTGGCTAAAGAAACACATAAGAATAGGGACAAATGTCTCTCACCAATCCCAAAGGCATATACTGTGCCTTACCAACACACCGTAGTTAGCTAGGTCTGAACAGGTGAAATAAATGGCCAAACCTGATTGATTGTAGCTGTTGCAGCGAAGGGAACGCTGGTGGCAGGTGGTGTTGCTGCAGACACAGTGGTAGGTGTAGCACCGTGCATCATGGGCACTTTCAGTAGGAAATCATGGAAGCAACACACGAGGGGGTGGAGCATTTACGTAACCGTGACATACACGATGGAATGGGGCGTGGCAGGTATCACAGCAACAAGCCATGTAACATCATCATGATGGATACACCAGGGTGCAACATGCAATCACAGTCAGTGCAAAGCAACACAGCATGGAAGGGGGAAATATTTAAAAAGAGAAAAGGGGAAAGCCAATTATAGTTACCATTAAGGAAAATGGAATCATTCTCAACATTTAGTTAGTTTTTGAGCAGGATCACACTGTAGTTGACTTCAAGGGCCAAATTTTCAGAAGGGGTTACAATGGGTACCTATGACAAATCTGAGTTTACCAAGGCTATCTCTGTGGACAGCTAGTCAAGCAGAAATTGCTATGAACAGCTAGTCAAGCAGAAAAGTAACTGGGCTGCGCATTCAAAACGGGAGTAGGGAACTGTGAATTGGTGTTTGGTTTCGCTAACTCATGACAGACATCAGTGCTGTCACTGGATTTGCAGGTGCAAAGGAACGGTCATCTATATATATATACTTACCTGATCTGTATACAAAAAGATCGTAGTTTGATTGGTGGGTATGTGGTAGGGGAGCAGATAAAGAATACAGTGGCCTATGCATGCAGGTTTTTCAGCACACCTCTGGCAAACCCCTTGCAAACTTAGGCTACTTATGAAACAACGTAGGCCATTTATTTATTGTTTCATAAATAGCCGAAATTTCCAAGAGATACTTCATAGTAAATATCCGACAAAATCTTGTCTTCACTGCAATATTACAGCGACAATGACTAGCAGCTGCAACATCTCTTTCAGGCTGATTTCTCTTTGCCTTTTCTAGTTTCTATGTCATTTTGAAAGCTTCTGGGATGCTTTCCTTATTTCTAGCTCATTTTGGATAGCAAGCCAAGGAATTCATGTGTAAATGGCACGTGTGCATATGTGATAATTTGCATCTATAATATATCGATTGAATTCAGATTTTCTGGAAGTCTACAGAGAAAGTGAATGGCCTGGAGAGAGGAAAATCAACACATGCAACGTCACAGAAACCACAAATGTACCCCAAATGGTGATTAACAGAAACTCTGTAGTTATCTCTCATGCTCATCTCTAGTTATCCATTACCTATCAACATCCCTTATTGTAGCACATGCCAATTCTAAAAACACTCTTGTTTTCCCTTCGGGAGCACAACAACTGTGCAGAAAGCAGCACCACTGAAGCATGCAGTTTGCATTCCTACACTGAGCTCTTAGGTGAAAGGACAAGGGAGCAGTCACAAAATGGGAAGATGGAGACACATTTCACGAACTTGCAGAAGTATGCTCTTCTAATCATATGCATATGATGCTTCTGTTAGTACCAGTGGAAATGTTTTTAATTCTGACAGAGCACAGCTAATAACAGAGGCCTCACCTGTTAGTGAGTGCTACTATTATGTAGTTGTCATTTTGACATTTTTGTTTTATCTTGATAAGCCTGTTAGTCCCTTTTGGGCTCTGCATCAACTCTGGTTGACCAATGGGATGGAGGTCAAGCTGTTGCGAACTCTCAAAAAGGATAAAAGTAACTGGATTGATATGAGATGGTGGGGTGAGGTGGGACAATTCCTCCCTGTATGGAACAGAGCTATTTTCTCCTGGTCTGTTCCTGGTGCCCATGGAAACTATAGGAGCTGTGAACTCCCTAGGAGTTCTGAGAGGGAAACAAGTCCCTTTCCCTGTCTTCTTCAGTGTTAGTGATGTACAAAATGGTTTCGAGATGGCTACCATATTGGATAGGTGGCTAATTAAAGGATCTGTGTGCAACTGGTTATTAAAAATCACATACCCCCAAAGAGTCATTTTGAAATGATTCTGTGGTGCCTGGTTTCCGTGCAGATGGCACTTCATCCTAGAACACTATAGAAATCATCACAAAACACTACAGAATGCTCTAGCTTTGCTTTTTTGCAACACCTGAGTATTGAATGATTTTGAGCTTATGGGTAACTTTTTTTTTGGAGGAATTGTTGTGCTGTACTTTACAAATTATACATTTAAAATATTTAAAATATTTTACAATTTCTTAGTAACAGATGTAAAGCTAAGAATAAAACTGCCCATTCTGGCTAGATAAGGAAATGTTTCAAAATATTTCAGCTACTATTTTTAGGGTGAAAATACAGAAATGGCAGGGTTGGTATTTGACCACAGTGGCAACCAACTGTGAGAGTGTAGGACTGTTGTGATTCCACAAAGACATGTAACAGACAGCACCATATTAAACCTTAAATACTCAGAAAATGTCCAGCCACATCATCCAGTTGCTTGTCTCTTTCATAGTCACAACAGAAAAACACTTTTTTTTCAGACTGTGGAAAGTTGAGAATTTTTGTACAAAACCTACCAATACTTGAAGCAGGTACCATGCACAGTATTGGCCCTGTACACCATGCAGAAAAGCGTGAAAAGTAAAGAAAAGAGATATTTCATTATTAAAGTTTTACTGATAGAAATAATTTCTAACTAGAAAGATATTCTTAGCAATATTAATCAATCAGCACATGCATATCCAGTAATCTCCCATGCTCACAATTACAGCTTAAGATCCTAAACCCAGGTAATCAAAGTAATTCTTGGATTCTTAGGTATACAAATGAACATTAATTTTTCTTTAAAGTTATTAGCTCACTTAAATTACATATTTATTCTGGACGAATACATCCTAAGTGATTTTTATTATGAAAGGAAGAATTTTAATTTATTATACATACAATTTTCAAAATATGCACCAGGATCTGGCAGCTGGTGCCAATAAGTTGTACTTAGGGCACTAATCTATTATCATTGCTTTCTCCACCTCGCAACCAAGGACTTGACTGTGAACATATGGCAAATAGGCTTTTCATCAAGAGGGGCCTCTCAGTCTGACAAGCTTTTCTTTTGCTATTAATTAAGGAGAAAGGGATTCTTCTGATGTTTTTGCTTGTAAATCTAGATTTTAAATTAGCCAAATCCAGCCCAACAAGTCTAAAAATTGTGTTTTTAAATATCATGAGGAGCTACTGTGGTTAGCTAACTAGACAAAAGACTGGATTTTTATGGCTTCTTTCAAAATTAATTAACTGATTAATGTATCAGTTAACCAATGGGTTTCTTCAAGTCCAGGCATACAATACCATGTGCTTAGTATGTTTATAATTAACAAGGTTTCTAAATTAATTTTTAAAGCACGTAACTTTCATTTAACAGTTTCCAAACTGGAGCATTTATGATTCTGACCAAAAAAAAAAAAATCTACCATACTCCCAGGGGTTATTATTTTCAACTTATTCCTAAGAGACTGTATGTTTGTTCTTAAAGTACTGAACCACTGGAAGAAAAGTAATTCCCCTCATATATGATATTGTTTGACCTCAGCTCTTCTGCTTCTGGGCCTGCATGAATGCTGGTTTTGAGACCATATCTGGTCATGGAAATAATTTCATTTTGCCAGCTACAAATCAACCAGCGGCATGTGGGATCTTGCCGGACCAGGGCTCGAACCCGTGTCCCCTGCACTGGCAGGTGGATACTTAACCACTGTGCCACCAGGGAAGCCCCCTATGATATTTATTTGAAAAAATTATGGCTTAAATTTTTCTTTTCAATTTAGTGCAAAACTGTTATGCTATTAAATATAGTTGAATGTAGGAGGTAATAAAATATGCCACAAATTGTCAGGAAAATGTGATAAACTGCTATATATTTTATATTAACTGGTTTAAGAGTTAGAGACCAAAACTACCTGTTTTATATATATATATATATACTACACTGTATTATATTGTAAATGTAAGGGTAGTTTTATTATAACTATCTTTGGCATATCAAAGATATATGGACTACCTATTTTTGCAATGCTGAAGCTTAGAAACTTTCTTTTTTTTTTTTTTTTTTTTTAGGGCAGCCGTTGAATGTAGGAGGTAATAAAATATGCCACAAATTGTCAGGAAAATGTGATAAACTGCTATATATTTTATATTAACTGGTTTAAGAGTTAGAGACCAAAACTACCTGTTTTATATATATATATATATACTACACTGTATTATATTGTAAATGTAAGGGTAGTTTTATTATAACTATCTTTGGCATATCAAAGATATATGGACTACCTATTTTTGCAATGCTGAAGCTTAGAAACTTTTTTTTTTTTTTTTTTTTTTTTGAGGGCAGACCATTGTCTTTGAAAGTGATACCTAAGAATCAAGGAATTAGTTTGAGACTGAAACAAGTGAATCAAACATGAGAAGCAAAAATTAGGAAATGCTCAAAAGAAAAATGTTGACAGTGTTTCCTAGTTTGATTTCAAAACCATTAATTTTCAGGAATCATAGGAAAACAGTTTGTTCAGTATATACAAACAGATCGAGCATAGCTGCCTTGTTTTATTTCTAACCACAATACCTGTTGACTGTTCTCAGATAAATGCTCTTTGGAAGCTGGTGGGCACTGTATTCATTCGCAACATCAAGCAACTCGCGGTGCCCAGGGCCTCGTTCTCACCTGCAGGGATAAATGCCGGCTGCGGGAGTTGCAGGTTAGCCATAGCCTGCTGGCAGTGGAAAACACTGGGATTAAAGACCGGGGTGGCACCATTGGTCTTTTCAAGTGCTGATCTCTTTGGTATCAGTTGAAGTGCACTGGGCTGCAGGGCCTGTGAGGGAAGGATGGATTAATAAATAGTATTAAGGAAAGTAAAATATGTACTCAAACCAAGCAAGCAGCAGTTAGATAAGGTCTGGCCTGGGAACCCTTTGCAAGGGTCGCCATTGAGCAAGGTAACCAACTTCAGAGATGAAGCCGTTGACTATATGAGTACATACTCAGTCCAAAACAGAAAATAAACATACAGGGGGGAAAAGAAGCTTTTCAGCTTCACTAATTTAGACAAATTAATGAAGCTGAAAAGGACCTCGTCATGTGGGCTGGATGTGACAGGATGCTGTTGACAGCAAGTAATCATTTAAAATTAACATCTAAAGGATGCTCATCTACTAACCTATTAAAATGAGATCAGCAGAAGCAACAGATATAGCAGGAAAGAAATTTTTGCCAGTTACAATTCCAATATAAATCTAGGAGATAAATGGTATGTAGGTGAAAAAACAGATGTCAGTAGATCAGAGTCTAAAGCTCCAAAATCCAAAATTCAATTTATACAAGGATTTCAGGTCCAAACCCTATAACTGTGTATTTCCCAACTAACATGTAAGGAAAAAGCAAATGAATTAATCTGCCCCCGCCACCTCACCCAGATACCACAGATAGTTAGCAAAATGTATGCAATTCTCACTTATAGAGACTTGCTGTGCATTTCGATACGTATTGCTTGCTTTGTTGTAAGGTTTAATTCTGAAACCTCTTAGCATTTTAAAATCCTCCTTTCATGTCTACAATTCTTTCAAAATCCCACTGTGCTTAAAATATTCAGTCAAAGCTCCGCCTGGATCAGATTCATTGGAGAAATTTGACATTACTTTACATTTTTTCCTCAGCAAATTGCACAGTACTTTAAAAACTTGTCCCGGCAACAACGATTGGGTATGCTCCAAATTCTTAAGGAGACGGGCACACTTATGCTGAGTATCTAGCCTTCCACAAGCCGAAAAGGGGCATGCCATGACCTCCTTATTCCTATGGATAAGAAGGCCTAATGGTACCTCTATTTTCATTTGGGAAATAAATATCACCCCTTCAAGTCTTTCCTTTTAAATGCATACAACCTGCTTTCAGTAAAGTCAACCCGAGCTGTGCACATGAACACGAACAGGGTAAAAATCTCTGCTTCACAAAGCGTTTCAACTCTGAATCCTTAAAATATAGAAAGCTTAAATTTCTTCATGCAGCCTCCTTTGTTTAATTTTACCTCAAACAAATTCCTATGGGCCAGTGTTACTTCACCTTTAAGACGCTGCTCTGATCAGTCACTCAGAAAAGAATTCTATATTGACGTTCAAAAGTACCAGTTGAAGACCTTACTATATATAGCATGTTTAACTCTCTACATGGAAATTTGGGGCTGACTTATATGCATTCTAAGAAACACACCAAAATCATCAGAAATAGGCACATACATACGAAGGCCCCATGACTGAGCATTGGACAGGTAGGTACACCATGGCACAGGCATGGCATTCCTTGTACATCCCATGCATATGAGAACCTTTATTTTTAGGGGGCCAACTGTATTCCTCTCCTTTACAATAGGGTACGTTGTTTCTGAACTGTATGCCACCAACAGAAATAATCTAACAACTGGAGGCTTAAATTGTGCATTGAATATTCTGGATACCTTCCTATTTTCATAGCGTAAAATTCCCTCATTCAAAAGAATTTAAGACAAAAAATATTTGGTGAAGTCTTTTTTAACATTCATTAACAAATTCTGCTGTCCAGATCAAGGCAGAAAATAAGTTTGTTCTATTTTGGTTCTCAGCTCTTTCACAAAGTATTGGGTTCAGTTCTGAGAGAGCAGGGGTACCGAGAAAGAGAACAAGTCCAAATTTGCGGTGTTTGGCTTAGGGAAAAGACATGAGAATCAGGCTCCTATGAAATAGGGATTGGCACGTTTTGCAATAAACTACGTGTAAGTTCCAGTTACAACAAGGTAGATTTTAACTTAGTATGAGGAAAACCTTCTCAACAAATAGGGATGTCTGAAAATAAATGTATCTCTCTTATGAAAAGGAAAGGTCTCTGTCATGGGCTTCAGGGTCATGGAGGTGATTTTTTTTCCACAGCCGGGAAAAATGAGGTTTCCTCAGGGTTTTGTCCCTTATTGGGGTTATACCCTATTACATGAGGAAAAGCCCAGACTATAAAAGAAATGAATAGCCCACAGCCTATCAAAATAATTGACAGCTGTGACAAGCATAAGTAATCATAATTCCTATTTTTTAACCTATCACACTATAGTGTTATGCAAATAGTTTCCTACCTCCTACCTTTTCGTGGTTCAGTAGGGCTAACTTTTCCCCCAAATTTACTTACTAGGGCAACTCAATAGCCAGGCCTCTTCTCCAACCATGTAGAAATTTCCCCCCAGCCTTGGCTGGCTGCTGACTTGAAATCATTAACCTTTGGGAAATTAGAACCTATTTTCCACCCCATCCTCCAAGTCCTCTGTTTGTGAAAGGCATTAAGGATGTTACCAGCAAAGTGACCATCTAGGTGGCTCATGGGGCAGAAAGGGAACTTTCTGCCTTTTTACGATATTAAGGTTAGTTAGGCTATAAAAACCACTCCAAAATAATTTACTGTTTAAGTTGTATAATTTACTCTTTCTTAAAAAATGGGAGAAAAAGCACAGTAAGTTAAAATCATTAGGCAAGGTTTTAAATAGTTATCTTTAGAAAATTTTAGTGAACTAGAATAAATAGGTTCTCTCTTTTCCAGCTTATAACCTGGGCAATTCATTTTAAGGTCCCCTCATGACTATCCAAGATAATGGTTCCAGGATATTAGACAAATTGAGGGATATAAGAATCATTTATCCCCAAACAGTCGACGAGTCCTGGCCTGTTCTTACCATGGCAGTGGCAGCTGAATGGTTCATCTGGTGATGAGCTGCCTTGAGTCTGGCTTGCAAGTGCGCAGGAGGATGAAAGTACTTGCATTTCTCCCGGGAGCATCGACCTTTGATATAATCCATGCAGATGGTCACGGTATTATCACTTGCCTCAATCATGGAAACATCTGTAGGGTGAGCATAGCGGCAATCGTTCTCACCACGGGTACAATTTCCGCGCTGAAATTCACGGCAAACCTTAAAGAAAAAAAAAAAATCACATTGATGCTTGGAAGGTGATTAGCTTTTATTTATTTTGCCAGTGAACGTATAAGAGCAACAGTATACATTCTTTTGTCATCTATTTAGGAAAAATTCTAAAAGCTGAAGGATAATGTCGAACCATATTCACTATGAGATGTAAACCTAAACAAAATTTCTATTCCAAGGAAGAAAAAATCCAATCTTCCCAAAGGAAAAGTTTGTCTGCTTTCCTTACATTGAAATGCAGGTATTGCTGAAAACCAGTTTTTAATCCTCTACTTGATACACGGCCTAAAGTGTAATTAGCTAAGTTTGCAAGAGGGCGTTATTTTGTTAAGCTCCAAGATGTGTCTTTATCACACAGCAATGTGCTTTCTTTTTTTTTAAATTAATTTATTTATTTTTGGCTGTGTTGGGTCTTCATTGCTGCGCGGGGGCTTTCTCTAGTTGTGGCTAGCGGGAACTACTCTTCATTGTGGTGTGCGGGCTTCTCATTGCAGTGGCTTCTCTTGTTATGGAGCACGGGCTCTAGGTGTGCGGGCTTCAGTAGTTGTGGCACACAGGCTCAGCAGTTGTGGCTCGCGGGCTCTAGAGCGCAGGCTCCGTAGTTGTGGTGCACAGGCTTAGTTGCTCTGCAGCACGTGGGATCTTCCTGGACTAGGGCTCGAACCGTGTCCCCTGCATTGGCAGGCAGATTCTTAACCACTGCGCCACAGGGAAGTCCGGCAATGTGCTTTTTTACAAGCAGACTTGTGGACCATGACTAAAGGACATGCACAGATTCCAGTTCAATACCTGGCAAGGCATTTAAGGAGCTGCCAATGGAGCTGACTTTTTGATTATTCTAGCAAGTAGAGACTCATCAACGAATACAGTAATCCCACTCTGCAAAGCTGGGGCCTGGCTAAAAGGAGCATTCCCACCAGACTTTCTGTGCCATAGCAAAGGAGATGCACAGTCTGCAGCTGGGTACACTAAGACATTGTTTGACCTACTATACAACCGTGCACTTCGTAACAGGGTAAAATTGCAGTAATAAAATGTCTAACATTTCTCTGAGGTTATATTCCATAAGCTTAAAATTCAGATGTACTTATTTAAAGCATTCAAGACATTGGGCTCTAAGAATGTTTATGCATAAGGTTAATATCTACCCCATAGGGATTTATATATTTCTACACAAATACCTCCAGTTTATCTGAACGCATTGGTTTTGGACCAGGAGCTCCTGGCAGTGGGAGAGGCGGGTTTCCAGAAATCAGCACAGGTGCATTTGGTAAAAGTTCGGCAGGGACCAGGCCCATCCCAGGATGAGGTAAGTAGGGATTAAAAGCCATGGCAGGATTAGCTGCCAGGGATGGAGTCACAGGAAAAGAAGTCTGTATGTTTAAAAGAGAAAAAAAAGTGTTAGAGGTCAATAGATTATTCCTGTTATTACACAAGGAAGCATTCTTTCAAAAAGCTCAAGTCATATCAAAAGTTACCATTGGGGCTTCCCTGGTGGCGCAGCGGTTGAGAGTCCGCCTGCCGATGCAGGGTACGCGGGTTCCTGCCCCGGTCCAGGAAGATCCCACATGCTGCAGAGCGGCTGGGCCCGTGAGCCATGGCCGCTGAGCCTGCGCGTCCGGAGCCTGTGCTCCGCAACGGGAGAGGCCACAACAGTGAGAGGCCCGCGTACCGCAAAAAAAACAAAAACAAAAACAAAAACAAAACAAACAAAAAAAGTTACCATTGTATTTTCTGCTTTATTTTCAGTCTCATAGTAATCCCCGTATAGGAGGAGTTCCTTTTAAAACCACAAATCTCTTTGAATAACAAATTTATTGGTAAGCTGATAAGCCAAGCCACATAATTTTAACAGTCATGAGTTAAGTAAATTAAATCCCACTGATGGAGTCTGTTCCAAATGTGTTTTCTCTAGCACTTCCATTTTTACCTAAAAACCATGTCACCAACGATATCAAATACGTGGGCAATCTGCCTTATCTCCTCACACAAGCATGGCCTTTGCACACAGACTTCAGGTTCTCCCCCTTCATCCCACCCTCTTCCTTCCCCCTTCCCCTTCCTCGCAGTACTGCTTGGCTCCAAAGCTGCTGCTCTTACCATGGTTCCCAACTGCCCTACCAAACACTTGCTTCTTGGCCCACTATCAATTAAGGAAGAAAGCAAGAAGGCAGGAAGAAAGGGGTAGATTTTGAAAAGTGAGAGCTGTAAGAACTTCTTGCTGTCTATCTAAAATGAAATTAGTATGGTCATTTTTTTTTAGAGGTCTTATTTTACAAATGAATCTGACTTTCCTAGCCTTGTCTTTATCTAAGGGATCAGATGATGTGCACAGTTTAAAAGGGGCCCCTAAACATGCTACGAGAATCCCTATTAGGCAGGAAGAGATAACAGCATTATAAGGTACATACACTAGAGTATAACTTGTAAAGAAAGGTCTTGGAAATGCAAAGGAATCTTACTGACTTTTCTATTTTTTTTTATTAACAGGTTATTTTATTTGACTCAAATCTTACTGTAAACATCACAAAAAATGTTAATCTCCATAAATACTCAACCTTTATGGAGACAACAAAAAACTAATTTAGGCTAATTGAAAATAAATTCTGAACTGACAAATACATACAATGTATGGTAACACAGCATAGTTATAAACACCTCACTCTAGATGATACACAATTTTGTTATTAATTCCCACTTAATCTAAATTGAAATTATTGAAAACTTTTAGTCAAATGTCTGGTTTTACTTTTTTTTTGACATCTTTATTGGAGTATAATTGCTTTACATTGTTGTGTTAGTTTCTGCTGTATAACAAAGTGAATCAGCTGTACATATACATATATCCCCATATCTCCTCCCTCTTGCGTCTCCCTCCCACCCTCCCTATCCCACCCCTCTAGGTAGTCCTGATCTCAAAGAGTTTCATATATGTACTGCCTTTATTATCTGTAACCACATAATTTATCACTTTACTGTGCTGTTTTCCAGTTTGTTCCTTATGTGGGTGTCTTTTCTTCTCAATGTGGTCATAATTTCTTTGATAGTTCTCTTGTCTCCCCTATATAGTGAATGACTGATTGACTGATATAATCAATGACATAATTTAAAAATAAATGTAAGCATTTTAATGAATGAATAACAAATCATGGTTAAATATAGTACATTTCTAATAGTGACTTTATAAGGTAGGTAGCGCATTGTCATGCAAATGGTGATGTCTCATGTATTACTAATAGCATTGTTCTTTCTTGCTTTCTTTTTATTTCTTTCACTAAAACAATAATCTGTTGCACTGCCAAGCTATGCCCACACCTTCTGCTAAATCACTTTAATAGGAACAGCTCTAAATGCAGGTAGAATAGAGGGGCGATCTATATTCATGGCGCCACTCCCTAGTCGGACTTGAAACTTTCAATAGCACAGCCTTCTCCGTGAAACCCCTGTTATAAACAACATTCAGCTTGGAAGGAAGGACTTCCCCATTAGCACTCTACCTTAGATGAGTTTATTATTAGTTAACTGGCAAATTTGGAAGGGCAGAAAGAGCATGCCCCCTCCTCCCCAAACTGGCAAGACTCACCAGGGTTAAGCAGAGAAGGCATGGTGGCCAAGAGCTTTAAGAGGAAAGGGGTGACGTCAGGTGGCAGGAAAGATGATGGGGCAGTCAGGGAGGTGCTTTAAGGTTTGAGGACAAAAGCCAAGGGCAGACCCAGCCTAACTAGCGCTGTGATGTAACAGGGAATAGGGACATGTCATACTTCTCATGGAATGAAAACTATTGAATTAAAAGGAAAACTTGCAGGTGAGTGAATTTTCCAGATTAAAAATTCATTAATCACTAATAAATAACCGATCAATTAATAATATTTAAGAATAATGTACATGTAAGCAATGCTTCCTATTTATAATAGCTCTGTACTTCTGTATTTTTCCCTTCCTTTTTGGGGGGAAATTTCCTGGTTAACTTCTGCTTTCTTTAGAATATGTTTTAACCCTCTCACGTTTGTTATATGTTCCAATTGTATGAAAACAAGCTGAAAATTAAAAGTCTATATAAATAGCGCAAGGGACTTGCTGAAAAAGTTTAGGGTTTTTAAGGTTATACTGTGCCATGTTTAGGTTTTAAAGTTAGTATTGTAGATTTTATAACCATTTTCCTCCTTGGTATAAACTTCATTCTATAACTCTGTTTATTGAGAAGAAGCAGGTTTTTTTTAATTCCCAACCCTCGGGCACAGGGAGGAACTCCTGAGTTTCTTATTTATTTTCAAATGGACATTTCTGTTTCTCACCACCACCTCTGCCCCAGGGTAATCACTCCATTTTCATGAATTTGAACATTCAAGGGCTTAGCTTTAGTTAACAGCCACCTGTTATATCAGGCAGCCTGCAAGTTCACACATTCAATTTTAATAAGCAACTTTAATCCTTCCTATACCTGTATTGCAGCCTTTGATGTCAGTTGAGCTAACATGAACCAATTAGTGGGGTAATCTTAATATTAAAGAAAAAGGTACCTAACAGGTTGAATCTGATTTCTATTTACAGCCTGAATGGTCTGGGCACTTAAATATGTTTCAGATATTCAGTCAAACCTAAATTATTTCCTAAATATTTGAAAATATGAGAAAACTTTTCCTCCTAGAACAGGGGGTATGGATTTTCATCTTTCTCTGAGACTTATAAAACCAACAAGAATGATGGCGACAGCTGACTATATGAATAAAACGATCACCTAGACAATTATTTACCCTCAATGTCTCTTGCAGTATTAGCTGCTAGGGTAGGAATTCCCGCGAGCTACCAGTTACTCGCACAGTACCTAGGAACTATCAGGGCCTTAGGAAATGCTTTCTAAAATTTGGTGAATTGCCTCTAGAACAGGGGCACCTAATCTTTTTCGAGTCCTGAACTTCTCTGAGAGTCTGATGAGAGCTGTAGACCCTGTCCACGGAAAAATTCATATGTGCATAAACTGCATGTGATCTCAAGAAGTTCAAGGACCTCATGAAACTCACCCCTGGTGTGGGGTTATGGACGACTTACTGTTTAAGAGCTTGTGTTCTAGGGTAACGGTTGGCAAACCACAGCTCCTGAACCAAATCCAGCCTGCCCTGTCTTTGTATGACCAGAATGGTAAGAGTGGTTTCTACATTTTTATTTTTATTTTTTTAAAATTTTATTTGAAGTATAGTTGATATACAGTGTTGTGTTAGTTTCTGGTGTACAGTAAAGTGATTCAGTGTGTGTATATACACACACACACACACACACACACACACACACACACTACTTTTTCATATTCTTTTCCATTATGGTTGATTATAGGATATTAAATATAGTTCCCTGTGCTATACAGTAGGACCTTGTTGTTTATGCATTCTATACATATTAGTTTGCATCTGCTAGTCCCAAACTCCCAATTCAACCCCCCCACCCCTCCCCCCTGGCAACAACAGGTCTGTTCTCTATGTCTGTGAGTCTGTCTCTGTTTTGTAGATAAGTTCATTTGTGTCACATTTTAGATTCCACATATAAGTGATATCATATGGTATTTGTCTTTCTCTTTCTGACTTACTTTACTTAGTATGATAATCTCTAGGTCCATCCATGTTGCTGCAAATGGCATCAATTCATTCTTTTTTATGGCTGAGTAATATTCCATTGTATACATATACCACATCTTCTTTATCCATTCATCCATTGATGGACATTTAGATTGTTTCCATGTCTTGGCTATTGTAAATAATGCTGCTATGAACATAGGGGTGCATGTATCTTTCCAAATTATAGTTTTGTCTGGATATATGCCCAGGAGTGGGACTGATGGATCATATAGCAACTCTATTTTGTAGTCTTTTGAGGAACCTCCATACTGTTCTCCATAGCGGTTGTACCAATTTACATTCCCACCAACAGTGTAGGAGGGTTCCCTTTTTTTTCCACACCCTCTCCAGCATTTGTTATTCTCTACCTTTTTAAATGGTTGAAAAAAAGTACAAGATAAGTAATATTTCATAGCACATGAAAATTATATGCAATTCGTGTTTCAGTGTCCATAAATAAATTCCACTGCACTCACTCGTAGACCGATATAATAAAAAGTGTGGATATCTGTTTTCTGTCTTGTTACAGAGGTACCTACATAATATCCTCAACTTCATCTTAGTAACACTGATTTATTACTTAAAATGAGTTATTCCTCAAGCTAGTATAAAGAAATAAAAATTAACTGTCATGCTAAATCCATCTCTGTATCTCCCCACAGCCTAGATCTATTTGTAGTTACTTGAATAACATCCAAGGTCAGTTACAATTATTGTTGGATGAATGCAAGACACTTAAGTCAGTTAGGCTAATCCTGGCCTGA